CCGAGGCGGGGGCGCCCGGCAGCCCCGCACGTCCCAGCGCAGCGGCACCCGCAGCCCCACTCACAGGGGCCTGGCTGCGCTGAAACCCCCTGCCCTTGGCCCGCAGAAAGAGGAAAAGCGGAAATAAAGCCTGTAATAACCCCAGCACCAACGTTAAGAGCACAGAGCATTGGTACTTCAGGACTAGGCAAAGCCCCCACACCACTTCAGGGTAGGGTGTTACCCCTTCCCACGCCGGAGTACTTGCCCCACGTTTACTTCAATTTGTATTTTGCACAGCACTTGTGAGCCTCTGATAATTAGTACAGCCTTTAACCCCCCCCCCTAATTTTAAGATAAATCAGTGGAACTTACCCAGTGGCTGAAGATGGAGGCCACCTGGTAGCAGTTTGCTGAATCAAAGCCTGGGTTGACGTTATGGGGTTTGTGCCCTGAGTATTTATTTCATTTGGGTCACCTGCTGCTTAATTGTACCAACGGGTGCATATCTGTGCCAAGAGAAAACACAAGCACTAAAGACCCCTGTGTTTTCATAACCTACAGCGTCCTGCAGCATCTGGGAAGAGTCTGGCCTCTCTGGGGTTTAGGTACCCCAACGTTGTGAGCATGACTGCATGCAGGAAGGGATGATGTCCTGGGCTTCAGTCACCTGCACTCTTCCTACCTCAGGTCTCCCCAGCACAGCCTGCTCTCATGGGCAATGTACAGACGATGTTTAACTGATGTCCTCTGGCTACAGCTGAGACCAAATGCCTACAGTAAAAGAAAATAGGAGCCAGGCGTGGGCTGCAAATGGCACCAGTCTTTTCCTAAGCTCCCCCAGCCTTTGGCACGCTGCATTCAGCTGCCTTTGACTGCCTACCCCAACTCTAGACCTGTTTATATTCCCCAAGTGACAGCTAATCTCCGATGGCCCTGCACCATGCAGCAATAAATTGGTCTCCTTGACCTTTGGATTGCTGAGCCTTAGCTGAAATGTGAGTTATACCCCAAACACAGCGAATCAGGCACTGTCTATCATCTCTACCAGCCCAGTTATTAAATCCACAGGCTTTAAGGAATAAGGATTGATTGCCCTTGAGGTCTTACCAACTTGTTCCCCAAACCTAGAGGCCCTGTGGATTTAAGTCATATAGCAGGGTCCTGAATTAATAAACCTCAAAAAAAAAAGCACAAATGAGACTCTTGTCAGTCTTCCTGCATCACTTGTCAGTGTTTTTCACCAACAACGCTGTCATTTCCGCAGTGATGAAATGTCTCGTCTTGATATGGAAAAAGCCATTTTGTTTCTATTATTGTGGTTGGCTTCATAACACATCAGTAAATACTATACTGTTTGGTTTTTTTTTCTCAGTGTAATGACCTGACATCCAAAGGAAACAGCGCTGCCTTGTGAAAACAAAACATCTCACACCACCTTAGCCAGATGCTTTGATATTTCTAAAGATTTCCTTTCCCTTCTGTTGTGGTTTAAACCCGGCCGGCAGCCAAACACCACGCAGCCGCTCGCTAACCCCTGGGGAATGGGTGAGAGAGCTGGAGGAGGAAGGGTAAAGAGACTCACAGGTTGAGATAAAAACAATTTAATAATTGAAATAAAATAATAATAATAGAAAATACAAATGAGCAATGCACAATGTAATTGCTCACCACCCACTGATTGATGCCCAGCCCATTCCTGGCTAATGATCCCAGAGGAGAGAGAATCCTGAAACAACAATCCCAGAAGCCAGAGTGAGCTTCCCAATTCACCTTTATCTATATACTGAGCATGATGTTACACAATATGGAATATTCCATTGGCCAGTTTAAGTCTGTTGTTTTGGCTGTGCTCCCCCCCAGCCTCTTGTGTACCTGCGCACTAGCAGGACATGAGAAGTTGAAAAGTCCTTGATTTCTTAGCAACAACTGAAATCATCAGCACATTATCAACATTTTTCTCGTAACAAATCCATACTGAACCCAAAGCACTGCAGTATTCTGGCTACTAAGAAGGAAGGAAAAATGAAATTAGCTCCATCCTAGCTAAAACCAGACAACCCCCTACATTGTTCTGGTGCTGGTGGGGAAAAGCTGCTCTCTTTTATCCAGAATACAGATGGAGCAAGCCTGGCTCTGTAATCGCGTTCACACCATCCCCAGCAATAACTTTCTGTCAGAAAAATCTTCCCTAATTTCACTTCGACAACTATTAAGCAGCTTCTTTTCCTGCAGCTACAAAACATGTGTTACAAAACTCAAAACCACCTTCTAATTAATTATACCTATTTCTCAAATGGAAAAGGAATTCTCATTTATTTTCTCCATGGCTGTATGTTAAGCTCAGCCACCACAACTCTGGGCCCTTTGTTTTTTTACCTGGGCAACTTTAAAAATCATAATGGATTTTCTGTTTTCCTTAATGATGTGTCATTCCCCCTCCTTCTCTGCAATGAAGTCAGTGTCCTGCTCACCTCCAGGCTACACCACTCCTACGCCAGCCTCTGCCTGTAGGATCCTGCCCAAGAAGCTCAAATGCCAGATACACTGAGCTGCATCTTTCAGAGGGTGTCCTAATTTTAGAGGTTCTGAGTACTAAAACAATTACAAAATGCCTCTCTCAGAGGCTTCAATTCTCCACCTTCTCTGCGGATAATCCCCTATCTGGAAAACACTCCCAGTCATCTTCCCACATCTATCTAGAGGAATTTGAGGAAAAAACCCAGCTCTGGCCAGCTGCATCCTCATGAAGGAGTTTTGTTGTGGTTGCTACTAGGTACAGATGGAGATGAACACCACTTAACCATATCCTGCTAAATTCAAGCTGCTGAGAAGATGTGTGGCACCTGAAGGAGTTTGGGATGCTCATAGTTTTCTCGTTCCCCTCCTTTCCTTGGGCAGGACATCTCTGCCTGCTGCTGCTGGCAGTTATGTAGAGGTGACACTGCAGGATTCGACCTCTCATAGATGAAGTGGGTCCTGAATCCTCTTTCTCTGGTAGCGGAGGTGCCCCTTTGGCCAGGCCTTTAAACATAAACCTTAAAAATCACAGCATTTTTGTAGCCCACAGCCAAGTCATGGGCTTGCTGCTTGTAATTTGGCACCACCACTGCATCCTGTCCCTGCCTGTGGGATGAAGATGAAAGAGGGGACATGCTGACCTTCAGATCTCGGCAAAGCAGCGCTGTGGCATGAAATACACAGCCTTGGAACACTGGGCAATTCCTGAAGAGCAACTGGGACAAGTAGAGTCCCAATGCATGTGCTGGCACCATCATTACTGCTTGTAATGAGCTCCAAAATGTTATCCTGGGAAAAGAAATCCAGACCCAGTGCATGTATCAAGGAATGCTCTGTGCCCACCCCGGTGGGAGCCTTGGTGATGTCCGGGGCTGTACTTCACCCGATGTGGCTCTGACTCCTCAGAACGACTTGTGGAAGATGCCGAGCCCCATCCTATGCAGCGCCGGCCTTGTGGCACTGAACCCTGCAAAGGGACTCTGTGTGGCATGGAACTAAAGGAAGAGGAGGCAAATTGCCCCGTTGCAGTGCTGCATTTGATTTACAAATTTAATTGTTTTAAATTTCATTTCAGCATCCATTGACTCAGCAGCTCTTTGCTGGACCACGCTGGAGGGGGGATACCCAGAGGGTGGGCAGAAAGGGTGAGCAGCGACTGTGGGAGGGCTGGGCAGGCTGGGGCCAACCTCACCATCACCAGGATACTGATCCAGGATGGGGCTGGCACTGTCCTTCTGAACTGACAGCCTCAGAGCTTGGGAGACATGTATTTCAGTGTTAACTGCACCGAGGAGTCAAAAAAGCCTGTAACCAGCAGTCTCTTCCCACTAGGAACAAATAAATACGGTGCAAATGTCTCCACCCTGGAGTCCCTCTCCACCAAGAGGGTAGCGGGGATATGAAAATGCAATGGGACCACAGCACTGGAGGGGCAATGGGTGAAACTTTCTCGGAGCATCACTTCTGGCTCTATCAACTCAGGTTATTTACACTGTGAAGAAGCCAGTGATATTTCTCTTGACTTGTGAAGAATATTATTTGCTTTTAAGACCCCAAGTAAGGCTGTGGCTCTTGGGAAACTTTGGCCTGTTTATTTGTTCTCTGATGGGAAAGGAACAAGAGTTATTTCACAATGAGGAATAAAGGGATCAGAAAATACTTGGTATTTCTACAAGGCTCTTTTTAAACCTAGAGCGCTCAGACTTTAAATTAATGAGGAACATAATTCTCTTGGTTTACAAGCAGCAGGGCATGGGATAAAATCTCCTTGTAGGGAAGAGAGTTAGCCACGAATAAAGGATGTCTCAGCCGATCGCATGGCCGTGTGTGTGTGCCTCAAGGTCTTGCCTGGGATCAGGGCTGGCCCTGCCTGGTCTCTGGCATCTGCAACCCAGAAAAAATCAGTGCTCGTGTGAAAAGAGAGCCCAGATGAAAGAGAGACCTAGTGGATCAACCACAAGGGAAAGAGGGAGAAGGGAGTCTCTGCAGCAGTGACTATTTTGGGGAAAGTGCCTCCACACCCACACAAGTAAATGTCACGGCCCATTGCCGGATCATTTTAATAGCAGCTGGCAGGTTGGCTGGCTATTCTAAAGCTCAAGCACACAAAAAGTTGGGAAAGAAATAAAGGCAGGTGGGGGCAAGCTCAAGGGCAAGGAGGAAGTCTGCAGATGAGAGCACCCTTGACTTCGAAATCCTACCTCCTCCCCCTTAGCTCATCCTGCCATAAATCCTTCCTTATGACTGATGATGCACAGCGCATGGCAGAGCTGAAGGCCCTGGCTGGAAGCAAAGCCCCAGCACTGGGATCTTCCAGAAACAGTCAGAAACAAGTCCTTCTCCCATAATTTCACCTTTTAATTAAGGAAGATGGGAAGACTGATTGTGAGGATGATGAATGAAATCAAATTTAGAAGTCACCTGAGAATCCATGGCAGAGCATGCTGAGATCTCCTGTTCCCCATGCAGGGACTGGAGGCTCTTCTGTGCTTCCTGGCTTATCTTACGTCTTTATTTGCTGATAAAAGCAGCACCAACAGCTTATTAATGTCTCCAGTTCACTTGTAACTGTCAAGCCATTGATCTCTCCTTACCTGATGGCCTTAAGCAGACCCACATGTCCCAACTCCCCTTGGTGGCACCGCAGTCCAGCGCTGCAGCCCTCTTGACTGAGTGGGTTCCCAGGGCGGCTCACGTGAAGGTACCAGATGGTGATTTTGGTGCTGGTGGGCACAGCTGGTTCCTTACGGGATGCCAGCAGTCCCGTCAGCTTTGTGGTGCTGTCAGCTTTTGCTGCTTGAAGGTCATCAGCATCCACAGCTCCCAATGCAGCAACTTGGAGAGAGGGCTGGACCTGGGTGGGAGAAGCAGCCCACCCATATTCTGTCAGTGGGGTTTCTCTTCTCATTACCAGAAATATTTATTTTCAGACACTTGGGAGCAAATAAGATTCAGAGAGAAACAAAGGACTCTTGGGCTCCAGTGCTTTTTGGAGACCATCAGACTTGAAGACTAAGGTTCTGCAGTAGCCGAGAAGCACCACGTAGCTCTCCCTTCATCTTCGGCCCCTGTGTTTCAGGTGCCCAGAGGTTTCCTGCCTCCTGTCTCCACTGGTGGATACAGAATCAGAGAAGGGAGGTGAGTCCGTAGGAGAAGCCACCACTGATGCTGCCTGGGTTTGTGTGTGATGATTGCAATGTCTGTGAAGTTTAGTTGACTCCTCCTAAATGTGTTCCAGCTGAATTCCCCCTTCTGCCCCTAGCTGCTTCTGAACCCTGGCAGGGGTCTGTGACCCTCCACACTCAATCTCCCCATGTGGAATAACCATCAGGTCTGGATTCGGATGCTACCAAGTCCCTGAGCCCAACCAAGTGCTTTCCTTTCAGGCATTTTGCAGCACTGTTACAGAATGGTTGTGCCTTGCTTATTGCAGAGCTTCACTTTCCAGGGCTCTCGGGCATCCAAGGGGCCATAAATTCACTGATGGTGAATTAACAAGCCCTGGAATTAAAAAAGAGGGAGAGAAAGGTGCGTGAAAATTGATTTTATTTTCACCTTTCCTCGTGTGCATGTGCTGGGCTTGAGGATATAGCAGATTATATTATTATATCTGCTAGGATAAGCAAAAAATTCAGTGGTGTCAGGAAGCTGCTGTACTAAAATGCCGCTTTGGGATGTGCGCGGCCAACCACACTTAGAGTGATTGCTTTGGGCACTGGCTGATGCTTGATGGTCTGTTCTGAAATGGAATCAAACCTGTGATAATTCAATGAGATCCAGGACCATCTTAATTCAGTGTTGAAGCTTCTTTTTTTTTCTTCCTTGGGGTCTGAGCTAGGCATGTGATAGGAATATTCACTGTAAAAAAGGAAGAAATAAAGGGGAAGGCAGCAATCTCTTAGGCTCTTCTTCCTCCAAAACCCCCTGTGCCAGCTGATGGCCGAGTCCATCACCCCCTGCTCCTTTCCCATTGCAGATCCCAGGATCTCAGCGCTGTGTCCTGAAAGCCAAGCGTGGTGGTGTGGAGGATTAGCACGGGGGGATTTCTGTTTTCTGGCCATGCTGTGATGGCTAGCGGTGGCCCTTTTCAGCTGGGGGCTGAGGGAATATGTGGGAGGGTGGAGGATGGTTCAGGGGGTTGCAGGAAGGAGCAGGAGGACATGGCGGGGGTGTGGGAAATCGTGAGAGGGTGCAGCAGGATGCAGGGGTGTTGTGTGAGGATGTAGGAGGGTACAGGGGGAATGTGTGTGGGGGTGCAGGAGGGCACAGGAGAGTGTGTGAGGATGCAAGAGGGTGCAGGATGGTTCGGGGGAGCGGGGGGGTGTGCGTGCAGGAGAATGTGGAAGGGTGCAGGATGGTTCCGGAGGATGCGGGGGGTGTCTGGGAAAATACGTGAGGATTCAGGAGGGTGCGGGGGGTCTGGCCCTGAGTCACCCCGCCCAGCGCCGCCGTGGGAGCGGCTGCTGCTGCCGGGGAAGGGCGGTG